TTGCGAACTTTGTCTTCGGACGAGTCGCGGCGCAGTGATCGAGTATTCGTTTTTACACTCGCCGTTTGCCCTGGTAAAATTCCTGAACAACCCTGATTGGCTAACCCCACGAGTTGGGCCTTCCCAATCAGCGTTGTTCATTTGTCCTTTTTACCGCCTGTTCCTTGCGCCCTTCGCGTATTTTCGGAACGGCGTGGCGATCGGAGGGGATAATGAGTTTGACGTGACAACGTGTGGAACTTTTCCTTCGGGCACCCGCGTCGGACCACATGTCCTTTGGGTCGCTGGGTCCGCTTCAAATACCCTTCGGAAACTCTCTGAATTTATGACGGTCTCCGTTTGCTATTGAGGTGTTTCTAACAAACTCTACTGCAGGGGTGTCAAACTCGCGGCCCGAGATGAACATTTTTGATGTCAAGTATCAGGACGTAAACAATAATTTAACTTTATATATGTTTATTACAATGTACTAGTCAAAATAAAAATATTTGTTTCTATGAACATTGATTTTTTTTGCGGCCCACCTAAAGTTAAGCATTGTTTATTTGGCTCAAGTTAGCTTTTGAGTTTGACACCCCTGCTCTACTGCAAACATGCGTTGTTAAGGTTTGGAACTTATCATCTCAAAAATAGCTTCTTCGAAGGAGAGTCGTAAATTACGCTGGTCGTTTGCACGAGGACTAAGGTTTCCATTGTGCGTACGACTGGACGCTACAAATGATAATCGAAAAACTTCGGATTTCACGTCTTTATTCACGCCTGGACATGTTAAGGGTAAGAAATTTGCTGTCCGACTGGTTCAGGTCATCTAATTCGTATCCAGAAAACTTCGTGTTGTTACAAGCTGATAGTTACAGATTCTAGATTTTATGCATTTATGGCACGGTTGCTTGTAGGAAAGTTACTGCAGTAAAAATATGTTGTAAAGCTTAAAACCAGATTTTAATTTCGTTTAGCGATCTGATTGGAGTCCTGCTGAAGTAAAAAAAATGTCTGCTTAATTACAAGTACGGTAAATTAGTTCCCGAGAATCTAGATTTACATAATTCTGTGGTGTCTGGTTGTCAAGAAATTGTAGCTTGATCGTACAAACTGGTCAGGCGATACGATCTTTCGCGAAAATATAGCTCGGCTCTTCTCTCCTGAATTAATTCGTATTCATTACATTCTTGATTACTTATAATTTAGTCATTAATCGAACATTCGAAATTCGAACGTCTCTGTCCAAATACATTTGAAGCCAACTCGAACAGACCGCTTTCGAGCCACAGTAATCAATATTTTGACCACTTTCGTGATTTCGCTGTCGACCACACGTTGGTCACCATAATCGATATTTTATAATTAGTAGTTGTTCTCGGCCAGACGGCTCGATCGCATTGCGTCAAACGGAATTGACCGAGCCTCGCGCGTCTAGACTACGGTCCGTCTTCGTCCAAAGTTAATCTCTAAAAAGCTATTTGTTTCTACAAGAAAATTAACGTTGGTCTTAAGAAGGTAGGCGCAAAACTATACGACTAAAATGCGATCGATCTCGGACGATACTCGGATTTGTGTCAATGCTATTTGTCGCGAGAAACAAACGAGACTGCCAATTCATGCTGCATGCGACCGAGAAGTTTGTTCGGTAAAAGCGTAGCCTAACAGATTTATTATACAATTTTAGCTTAATCTACCCTGTCTTAACCCTTAGCGCTCCACGTGTTTCTCAAGTTCTACCTACCAGCAACTCCGGCACATTTTTGGAGCAAAGCGCCCGAGATAAAGGAAGTTTTATTTTGAGTGGAAAAGATTACACGTCCTTGCGAAAGCGTTTGATTTTATTCATTTTATGTTGCTAAGTATAAAAATGGGCAAAAAATGTTTTAATCGTAATGGTATCTACTTAACATTGTGCGAGGTCGGTGCATCGACACATCGTGAATTGTGACCGAAATTTCCAAGCAGCAAATGCATCCTCATCGAAATGGGTAAATTTACTATTAATGATATTCTTCGCAATTCTTAAATAAATATATCCCTCGTGTTCTTTGACGCGATTTATTATAAAATTGGCATTGCGAATCGTCCGTTGAATTCTGTTTGGATACGAAATTATTGAAACAAAAATATCTTTGCGTGAGTTTGTCGGAATTTTTTTATTGTTAATTTTCACTGGAATCGGCTCGATTAATAATTAAATTAAATTAAAAATTAGTAAATATTCTTCGGACGTTCTAAAATAAAGTTGAACAGCGTTTTTCTGAAAAATATCACTACCAGCAACTCCGGCACATTTTTGGAGCAAAGCGCCCGAGATAAAGGATGTCTTATTTTGAGCGGAAAAGAATACACGTCCATGTGAAAGAGTTTGATTTTATTCATTTTATGTTGCTAAGTATAAAAATGGGCAAAATATGTTTTAATCGTAATGGTATCTACTTAACATTGTGCGAGGTCGGTGCATCGACACATCGTGAATTGTGACCGAAATTTCCAAGCAGCAAATGCATCCTCATCGAAATGGGTAAATTTACTATTAATGATATTCTTCGCAATTCTTAAATAAATATATCCCTCGTGTTCTTTGACGCGATTTATTATAAAATTGGCATTGCGAATCGTCCGTTGAATTCTGTTTGGATACGAAATTATTGAAACAAAAATATCTTTGCGTGAGTTTGTCGGAATTTTTTTATTGTTAATTTTCACTGGAATCGGCTCGATTAATAATTAAATTAAATTAAAAATTAGTAAATATTCTTCGGACGTTCTAAAATAAAGTTGAACAGCGTTTTTCTGAAAAATATCACTACCAGCAACTCCGGCACATTTTTGGAGCAAAGCGCCCGAGATAAAGGATGTCTTATTTTGAGCGGAAAAGAATACACGTCCATGTGAAAGAGTTTGATTTTATTCATTTTATGTTGCTAAGTATAAAAATGGGCAAAATATGTTTTAATCGTAATGGTACACACGCTAAGCACGTTTTCACTACAAATAACAATTGCCAACGTCGACAGAAACATAGCATCTTCGGTGCAATCATGCTAAAAACATTGGGCTCCGCAGCAGAGCCTTCGGATTTACGGAACAAATGACGGATGTCTCCATAGCGGAGCCAACGGAGCGCTGAGGGTTAATACGTTGAATGCCACGGGGGTCACCGGTGACCGGCACTTTAACTTGGCGGTGACGCCATGGGGGCCACCGGTGACCGGCACGCCCAAATTGATATTAATATATATATATATAATTTAAAACAAATGTCAATATCTAAAATTTTGTATTATTACCATCGTCAATTCAAACAGTGACAGTCGCAATTAACATGTGAAACATGGTTATACACTGTAACTTATCTATTGCAGATAATATTTTAACATTATATGTATCACATAAAAGAAAATTCATCGTGGCGCCACAGGCAATTTCTGTAAAACCGGCGTGGCATTCAACGTGTTAAAGTAGACACTTTCAGCTTCGATTTTCGCTACGTTTCATAGAAATAGCCCCGCAAGAACATATGTCAAATTTCATCTCAATTATCGCTTCAAATTCGTATAATTTTCCTTGTCTTTTCCTAGGTGTCAGAGGTCTCTGCGAACGGACCTGTTAAACAGCCTAATAGAAACGATTTTATCTATCAACTTTACGGGGCAACTCCCTGCACTAACCACGGACTTTCTTATCGCAGCTGTCGTTAATCACCACGGTGGTCTCGGGGAGCATGGCTACGGGCTCCGAACAGCAAGATCAGGAGCAACAGCAGCAGCAGCAGCAACAACAACAACAACAACCACAACAACAACAACAGAGACATCACGATCCGATGGCACCGGCGAACCAATCGGTTAACGCGCTACCCTACTGGGAATACGTACTCCGTGAATCCGTGTTCAGGACGATCTCGCCGCCGCCGTCGGCCAACATCAACCTGTACAGACGTCTGTTGGACGCGCCGCTTTACGGCGGCCCGTTTCCGACGGGGCCGAACGATGCGGCCAGCTATGTTCTGTCACGCGGCGACGTTTATTACCTGCCGAACAACGACTGGCTGCTCTGCCAGGAGGGCTGTATCGACTGCGAGGTTTGCTCGGAGTACACGCATCCGGTGCTCAAGTGGATCCTCAGGATGGTGAAGAGACGACCTGTCCACGGTCCGGAGCACCAGGACCTCCAGCTGACCCTGATCCCGAGGATCGACGGCAGTTACCTTTCGAGAAGCCTCTGGCCGCGGTCGTACGTCTATGTGACCACGCCGGGTCAACTGGAGAAGTTCTGGAACGAGAGGATGGGCTTCCAAGGTCCTCCGAGCCTGGAGGATAGCATCGGACAGCGCCGGAAGTCCGGTAATTTCGGCAGATCCGATGAGGAGTCGTCGGAGCGACACGCGCGCGGCCAGCTGACCACCGCTACGGAGTATCCCGAAAGCGATTCCTCCGGTAGCACAACGCCTGAAAATAAGGAACAACGCACCACGTCCAGTTCGGTGTCGAACCCAGCTGGATCGTCGGATCGACCTGCTGGGAACGATTCTGCGTCGATGCCGGTGATCGAGAGCGGGAGGAATGGGTCGAAACAGCTCCTGCCGAAGTTGATCCTCGGCACTGATCAGCTGGGGCAGAAACACTTGGTGCACGTGGTGCCGGCTGATGGGATCAGCAGGAACTCGACGAGTCCCGTAACGACGGGACCTTTGAATGGCGGCAGCAAGTTTCAGAACCGAACAGCCTATCACAGGTTATTGAAGAGGATCTACGACTCGCTGAGCACTAACAAGAGATCCATCGAGAGTTTCCTCGAGCCCTCGACGCAAACCGGTGATGTTACGTTTGACGTTGGATGATCGCGGTAGGTTCTGCCTGTTCCGATAATAATTTCTGTCCAATTGTCTTTTTTTTTAGATCGCCGGCGGGAGGTGTATCAACAGCAGGAAACGAGGAACGATCTTGCGGAGTTGAAGCAATTGATCAGACTGCACAGAAGTCATTACGGGACAACTAGGAACGAGAGTGATCGACGGCCTTTCACTTTGAACTTGGGCGAACAGAGCAAGAAATCCACCGACGAAGTGGACGGGAAAACGTTTGTAAACGATGTAATTACTGCCGATCGCGCGTCGAGCGACCATGATCCGGATCAGGAAAGAAACGTCAAGAATGCTAGCACGAAACAGGACGGTAAACGTGTACCACGCATGTTCAAAGTGGTCGTCACTACCGAGTCGACGACCAAATCGTTCAACAAATCGGACGCGGTCGCGGCGAACAATAATCTTTGACGCGCGACCGGTTAGGATCGAGCGGAGTAATTACGCCGAACTTTCCATAGTTTTACATTTATAGAGGATTATGTTTGCAAAGGGTTAAAAATCCTCGAGGACTCGCGATCGCGTAGTAAAGCGGACTAATAGCACCCACCCTGGCGATGTCACTTAACACCGTAAGCCCGCGGGTAGCTCCATCGCCGGCACCGCTAAGAGGATCGACGATCCTTAATCAGGTCTGGCGCGATCGTTTAAAACGATTATAACCCTTCCTTCTACCGGCGTTGGTGTCACGGGCCGTCGCAACAGTCTCACGCATTATCTAACGGGTCGAAAGGGCGGCAGTGTGTGTCTCCGCGTGTGCAGTCTTCGCGAACCTGCGAGGATCCCCTTCGTGGTTGCGTGGCAATGGGGTGCTCGATGCACAAGGTGTACCGGAAGTTCTGGCAAACCAGCACCACACGTGTTAACCCTGTCACGTTCCTCCATACTCATTTCTATGAACACTGTCTTTGTACCGTGTAATTCTTTTTCGATCGAACCGTGTCTTCGTTTCGTTCAGAATGGCATTATACTTTAGGAAATCGTGTTTCAACCCTTTACTGTGTAACGCCGAGTCGAACGTTTCCGATTTTATAAAAGCGCATTATCGCCTTGTCATGTAACATTGCGTTGAACTAGTGACAGAAAGTTGAAAACGAACGTTCAAAATCCTGTCCCTCTGCTGTCGATCTTTAAACTTTAACGCGAATGTGTACAGACGCGGCGAAAACCAATTTTCTATTCCTCTTAAACACTCGGGAAGTAAACTCGGAGGTGCAGGTTGACCGAACAGTTTCCGTAAACATTTGTCCTGTCAAAGAGTATGCGAAACCTTCGGGTAAAGTCGAGCGGAAAGAGCGCGACTGCACAATTTCGCAGTTCCCTGAGAAAATCGCGCGGTTCGATCGCGCGACGATTTCGCATCCACCCTGTACACTCGCGCGTACCCTCTTCCTCTTCCTGTTCGTGTTCACGTTTCCCTGGATGTACATGGAGGGGGGCCTTCGCGGATGTGTACACACGACGGGTGTCCGTGTTCGTGCACGCGGGCTGAATTTGTGCAAGCGCAGAGTATACCGTGCACCGCGGGAAAGGATGGGTTTTAAGAGGGTCAAGGGTCGGGCTGGCGTTGCGGGGGTGAGACGACTGGCTCAGGCGGCAAGGTTTGAGGAGCAGAGGTAAGCCGGCGCTTATATTTAATTAAGGAGGATACGGGCTCGAGCGAGGAGAGAAAGTCGGATGGCGCCTGCTCCAGGCTGCTCCAGGCTGTTCCAGGCTGTTCCGTCTCCGTTACTCCCCCGCCCCCTGTCACTTGCTAAAGAGAAAGGGAACGGGTTTGTGTTTCTTCTCTAATTATCTACCCTTCGCGTCCTGGCAGCCACGTTCACTTTCCACGTCTGATATCTGCCGCGTGATCCGATTCTCCGGTCCTTTTTTCCAGCCCCGATTTCCGGCCAACTTGCCGTGTCTTCCTCCATTTCCCCCGCGTCTGATTTCAGTCTCAACCTCTCCCTGTCCTCGTCCCCCCCTTGCACCCGCTCTTTTTTCTACGTCGATCCGCCGTTACCGTTTCCTCTCTCCTCTCCACCCCTCTCCACTCCGCTGCGCTGGCCCATTTCTTATCGTAGTCGGACGATCTCTCCTCCGGCGAGCCGAATTCGATCTCTCGTCATGAGCAATTGCGAATCTCGACGAAGGACGTCCTACCGAACGGCGAAACTTTTTAATTAGACCGATCGTTCCGACATGCTCGCGATGATCAACCGGGATGGAGGTAGATCGAGGTGAATTTATTTAAGCAATTCATTCGTAGTAGCGTCGCGCGCTAATAGTTGAGAAGAATACAGATTTAAACTTGTTTTCCGAAATATTGTTCGCTGTTGTTTAACCGTTCGAGTCCCAACCAGCGCGATCGCGCTGTTCAGATTTTGCGTCGCGTCAAACTTTAGTGACGCGCGTACATCGCATAGCTGCTTTTCTTTTCTATATTTTTTCTTTTCGTTTTGTTTGTCGATCTTGACGGGCGCTATCGTGCCGCTTGGTTCTCTCCGCAATCAATTAAGACAAGCGCTATCACGCTGTTCGGCACTTTTCTGCACCGTGTTTTCTGAATAACCCCTGAGACTCAAACGGTTAACCACAACCATTTTTTTGCGCTTTCTTCGATTAGCAATCGAAGCGACAGTAGCTGCTGTTGCTTCGAGTATTTTGGAAGCCATTTTCATACTTGTAATTGTTAGAATAGGATTTTTGACTGTAGCTTGTGCTTATTTGAATAACAAATTTTCATTTGTACGTATATTACTAGCAAAGAAAATTTACTAAATAAAATGTGAAAGCACACGTGCGTCAATAAAGTAGCGAACTTCCTGCAAAGAAAATCTGGGAAAATATTAGCCTTTTAGGTACGGCTGAATTCTGCGCGAGGCTATTTCTCTGGACGGCAGAGTCTGATGTGTACTGTACAGAGTCTGATACTGTATATTCTGTCTGTATATACAGGGTGTCCCAAAAATGTCTCGCAATCCGAAAGTGGCGGGTTCCTCAGGCCATTTGAAGCAACTTTTTCCTCTACAAAAATTTTCTCCGAGGCACCGTTAACGAGTTATTAACGAAAAACAGTGACCAATGAGAGGCGAGCTCAGCTGGCGCGAGACGACCGAACCAATCAGCGGAACTGGAGTTCGACCGCTCGACCGCTCGACCGCTGGCGCTGTCGGCTTGGCCGCCTCGCGCAAGCTGAGCTCGCCTTTCATTGGTCACTGTTTTTCGTTAATAACTCGTTAACGGTGCCTCGGAGCAAATTTTTGTAAAGGAAGAAGTTTCTTCAAATGATCCGAGGAACCCGCCATTTCCGGATTGCGAGACATTTTTGGGACACCCTGTAGACTGTTGTAAATCGATGTGAAGACAAAAGAAGTGTGAAACAGTGCATATGAAGACGATTATTTGGTTCAAACGATGAGCGAGTGAGCTACTAGAGCAAGCCACTATAGTGGCGCGTCATCCAGAGAGATGACATCCGCGAAAGCCACTATAGTGGCGTGTCGTTCTGAAAGATCACATCCGCGGAAGCCACTATAGTGACGCGTCGTGCCTAAAAGGTTAAATCTATGTATCCTCGTGCGTCGTCTATATTTTTCTCGGGCTGTGTACAAGTTACGAGCCAAAGACGGTACACGATTTCTATCATAGTTACCACAGAAACCTAATTTATACATTCAAGAAGCGCGATTAACGTTCCGTAGGTATTCAAAGAGATTTGAATTTCGTAGTTTTCGTACAGGCAAGATATTGTGATTCGAACTCCTTGTTCGTCGACTCCTCCCGCAATCCACTCGTCTTTTCTGTGTTGTATCCGACACCCCCGCACCCGGGGATCCCCAGCGAAACTCCACCTCGTTCCGTGGCCTTGCCGACCGCGCAATCGGACGGTGCAAAACGATCGATTTGATCGACGGTAGATTGGTTTTAACGAGTTTCCTTTCAGCACGGTTTATTGAGAATCGCGACCGCTTTCGACGAGCCCCAGAAACCGAATACGCCGGGGAAATTTCGTCGGAAGATCTTAATTAAAGACGCTCGCCGAACGGAGGAGGAAAAAACCGGGGGAAAAGCGGCGCCCCGTTCGAGATTGGTGTTATTGCTGCGCCGAGCCGCGCCGTGCCGGGACGGGACGTTCTATTAACATCCTGCTCCCGATCCAGTTAATGACTGTGTATATAATTCAGGGAAAGCGCGGAGAAACCGCGGACCCGGTCGCCGCAGCTTTTAATAGGATCGCTAACGGGTCGCAGTCGGAGAAACGGCATCGATTGCTTACGATCGAGCGGCAGTTTTCTTCCGGCGCGACGAGTCGATTAGAAATCTATTTGCCGGATGGTAGTTCTCCCGTGCAAACAGAGGGCGGAGGGCGCACTCGACGCGCCGAAGTGGTTTTGATACTTTTAATTATGTGGACACGCTGATCGAGTATCGAGCGCCGCCGTAATATTCTTGCTTGTTGATCTTTCGACGCGACGCGACGGTCTCCCGGGTATTGATTTCGCGTCTGCGTTTTTAATAACTCGCAGATTTTCATTTCTGATCATTTAGAAGATTATTTGCGTCTGTATGTTACTGGCACTTTTTACAGGGAAATGCAATACAAGGAAATGCCTTGTATTTTTCACGAAGGCATTTGAGAAAATTTCTTCACAGGCATCGAAGTTTTATAACAGAGCGTACTCGGTTCATCGGATAATGTAATTTGAATATGATTTTTAACACGTTGGATGCCACGGGGGTCACCGGTGACCGGCACTTAACTTGGCGGTGACGCCATGGGGGCCACCGGTGACCGGCGCGCCCAAATTGATAGGAATATATATAATTTCAAACAAATGTCAATATCTAAAATTTTGCATTATTACCATCGTCAATTCAAACAGTGTTATAACAGTTTTAACATGTCAAACATGGTTACACACTGTAACTTATCTATTGCAGATAATATTTCAACATTATATGTATCACATAAAAGAATATTCATCGTGGCGCCACGGACAATTTCTGCAAAACCGGCGTGGCATTCAACGTGTTAATAAAATCGTTATGTCCTCTGTTATTTTTAAGCGTAGAAGGGAACAGGATTTATAAAAGTCTGCAGCTGCTAACGTAACGGATTTTTCAAGCTGGGATGGTAATAAAATTGTAACTGTCGAACGAATTGTTAAATAAATTTTTTACACAAATTTTCAGATCTGCGGACAGATTTTTGTGTTTCGTTTTTTAGCTTATATTTCTCAGTTTAGAAAATGTGGGAGAGCTTTGAAAGAATTATAACTAAATTGTGTATGAAAATGTAGAGCGCGACCAACATTTTGCTTTGACCTCTCCACCCGGCACGAGAAAAATTTTATTACTTAATGGTGTCAACTTGTACAGTAAACATGAAAATTTCCCTCGGAACGCAGGAGTTGAAAAAGCGACGGGGGGTAAAAGTTTTCATACCGCGGAAACTTTAAACTCTTATTGCTCACTCTCTCGCGTTCGGTATTCGGCGAAATCAATTCCCCGGATAAATCAAATTAAACACACGTCGGAATCTTTTTGAAAGCATCATTGAACGCGAGCAACGCTGTCCGCGTGTTCTATTTCCATTAAAATAATTATTGTTTACGTGCGCAGGGTAACAACACAACTAAAGCCGCATTCAAATTAGCTCGATCGTAATTGAAACAGGCTTTGCGAGAAAGGAGGAGAAGGACAGACTCGGTATTAACAAGATTAATTACGTTAAAGCGATGGATCGTGGGAAACCGTTCGTGGAAACGTTAAAAAACTGCGTTCCTCTGGGATCAGACGCTCGTACGAACTTATTACAATTAAATAACATTTAGTATTAACCTTTTAGGCACGACGCGCCACTATAGTGGCTTCCGTGGATGTCATCTCTCTGAACGACGCGCCACTATAGTGGCTTCCGCGGATGTCATCTCTCTGAACGACGCGCCACTATAGTGGCTTACTCTAGTAGCTCACTCGGTCATCGTTTGAATCAAATAATCGTCTTCATATGCATTGTTTCACACTTCTTTTGTCTTCACATCGATTTACAATATACAGACTTATCTTAACAATGTAACTGTATCTTAACAATATACAGACAGAATATACAGACACTCTATACAGTACATATCAGACTCCGTCGTCCAGAGAAATAGCGTCGCGCAGAATTCAGCCGTACCTAAAAGATTAACTGTACCGTATCGGTTCGATTAAATTCGCATTGGAAACTCCGCGCCGAACATTATCGACAACTCGAAAATGATTTTTTCCCAATCGCTTCCTTGCTGCGCCTGACAGTTTGGAGCGCGGCCACGGGACGGGGAGCGAAGCTATAAATTTTGAAATTTCATTGCCTGAAAAATCATCGAACCGGTCGACGACGTTAAAGACACGAAATTCGTATATGCGTAATTCAATGTCCACCCCCACGTGGGGCCGACAATTTGAATGTTTCCCCCGTTTCGAGGATTGTTATCTCGTCGCAGTATCGGTTATTAACGAATCGCATTTATACCGGCGCCAATGGAGAAACGATTTAATAAACGTTTTATGGAAGCGTATGTAGCTTGAGAGGAGCGAAGGGGCGGGAGCGGGGGACGCGATCGCGTCGAACAGGACGGAATTACAAAACGGTATCCCGATTAAAAATAATGGAAATATTATTGTCCGGAATAACTCGCGACTTCTTTCGGGCATTTCCAACGGCACGCCGGATTTCGGCCAACCCTTGCCGGGGAAAATATCGCTCCCTAGCGAATCTGGATTTTATACCGGCCAGATATTCCCGGTAGGCTGATTTCGTCCACCAGCCGGCACTCCGGGTTCGCATCATTATTTCCCGCAGGCGGGCACGCTTCAGTGACATACTTACAAATTGATACCAATATCATCGCGATACGCGGCGCGAGATGAGACTAGAAACAGCGACACGGTTTAAAATTGTTCCCTTATTACTGGAAAATAATTGTGAACCATCAATTTACGTCGTTTAAACAGTTGCTACAAATAGTTACGAAAGATTCTTGGTCAATGTTCACTCAGTTTCGCTTTACACTTTAATGCGTCCAATTATGATTTATTCATTAGCGCATATTTTAAGCAAATGCATCAATCTGCGCTGCATTAACGAAAATGATTTGTTAGTCCGCGAGTGAACACGCCGCTGCTGTTGAACAATTTATGAACCCATTATGCGTAGCTGTAAATGAATTATTTTTAAAAGCCATCAAATTATATTGATGAACATTGGTGACGAGTTAGGCATCAACGAACCTTTGAGGGTCTCTCGATGAACTTGGGTCAATATATATCAATATAA